AGCCGCTGCAGCCTGCCGGGAGCCGGGCGCCCCCCATAGGTTGGTGCCCTGGGCAGCTGCCCGGCTAGCCCACCCATTAGTCCGGCTCTGACCCTTTCCCAGAATGCAAACACCTATTTACTATACAAAACCCTCCCTTGAGCCTGCACCACTGGACCCCATAGTTAATTTTGTTACAATAGCTCACCTTCCAAAGAAAATTTGGCAGCTAATTGACGCAGGTTTTGTCTCCCAGCTTTATTCATCCCTTCAGGGTATGTGTTACTCCTTAGGTAGGCCAAAACCCGGGCAATCTTTTCCTCAAAATATGTCACTGAGAATATCTGAGAGACCATTACATACTTTGAAAACACATCTTTGGAATAAGTGACATCACCTGTTCTATTTAAAAATTATACAATCATAGTAAGTGAGGATAGAAAACAGTATCAGAAGAACGATAGTTGGGAACAAAACCCTAACATCTTGGATAAAGACAATAGTGTATTTGTTGAGTAAATGCATAGAAAAACATATATATGGAAACCCTCTTCTTACCCGTGCTATCTGCCAGGCTCATCGTTTGTGACAGCCAATTCCTTTGCTAGTCGAGGTCTTTTAAATAATCTGAAATACACAAAGACATGTTACCCATACATCTATATTTCATTATATTAATAGCCATTAAAACAGTTTAAAAAGAAAGACTACTTTTTCTGCACTATATGTGATACTCATGGCAATTATTGATCGGTGGTTTCAGGGTCATAGGGTTACAGCTGCATTTACATGAAGATGTGTACCTTACATACTTAGTACCATCTTAATGATTCAATGTAAAGTGGTGGTGTCTTATTATATTATTGTGTTTTAGATGACTGATAACTAAATTGTGCAACCGGATAAAAAACACCATTACCTGGAGTGTAATTTAACAGCCTCTGTTCAGGAAATGGGCTTGCTCCTTTGGGCTGCGGATCACCCCTTCATGTCTCAATGGTGTGCAGGGAGCATTAGCAGCCTAAGTAAAAATTACGTCCTCCTGCAGGTGGATATTTAACAGGGCCTCTGCAGGAACAGTGAGTGGGTTTGCATCTACATTCGGCCATGGGTCTGCCCTTCACATCTAATGGGAGCTGCGGCAAGCACACCAATTAGCCTTGAAGGGGCGATCTGCGGGCAAGAGGAGCAAGCCCCTGTCTGCAGTGGCTGTGTGAAATACCCCGCCATGGGAGGACGTTATTTTTCCTTCTGCTTCTAATGCTGCCTGCCCGACCGCTGCCACCCCCGGCTACTGACATTGGCTGAAGGAAAGTAAAAAGTAACAATCACTTTACAAACACTTGCCAGTGTAAAACACACGCAGGAACAAAAAAAAAAACAAAACAAAAAAACAAACGAAAACAAAAACGATGAATGAAAATTCTTATGCTGAGAATGATAGTACTTATGAAAGCATTGATCTCATTGAATTAATTCATATCTGGATGCTTTCTCCTTTTCAATTAATAGCTAAATGAAATTGTTATATTTTCATTGGATTATAAGCAGTGCTGCGTAAAAAAATATTTCTGTACTATATAGACACAAGATATACAGACCTGGATTAGTTTTATCTTCTGTGGTCAGTCTCCAGTCAGATCCCTTGGGTGCAGAGCAGGAGCCTTGGATTCTAAAGAGACAGACTGGGTGGCAATTGGTGGAGGAGAACAGGCTTAATGCAATTTGTACTCAGTGCTCAACTGATCACATCCCAAATATGATACTTGAATTGAAAAGGTAAATCGTTCACAAAGCCCGTTGACAAACCAATGTGACAATGGTCAATGAATGCCCATTAAAAAATGTTTTCTTAGGAAAAGAGCTACACTCAATGCTAACAAAGACTTCATGGACTGAGAGACCTCTCACTTTCCTAACTTGAGATGTATAGGACTGATTCATACTATGATATAAAAATGCTTTTCAGCCTATCCTGACATTTTAAATGAGGTCTGACAATTATTTTAAAACAGATCAAGCTATAGTACAGAACATGGCGGGGGAGAGGGTACTTTTCCAAGCTCCAGATTCACACAGCTGAGATAAGGATAAAATCTATTGAAAGTTGTGGGTTGAGGGGAATCTAGGGTTAGAACTATGAAATTTTGAGAAAGTTGATGACAGGATAGAATTGGCTGCAATGTGAATGGTTTGCCACTGAGAATCAATTGGGTAGCCAGAGTGAAAAAATGCAGTTCGGCTATAAGATCATTGAGGCACACCAGGGCTAATTTTCTGGAGTTAAACAGACTTGATAAGGGTACGTCTGCATTGCAAGCTTATGTTGGAATAATAATTGTTCTGGAAAAGCTTAATTAAAAATAGAACATCTACACACAAAAAGCCTAACAATGTACATCAGGAGACCATGTACAGTCACACAGATGTTGCACCCCTGCTGCAGACGCACCCATACATTCATGCTTATGCTACAACTAGTGGAACTGGGACAGGCAGAGCTGGTAGCACATGTGGGGGAATGAGGCCATAGGTCAAGGTTATGGGTTCAGGCACAGCAGGGGTCAGCTGTGGTGGAACAGAGCTGTGGGGCAGTATGGTTCCATGCTGGAGCCATGGGGGAGAGGAGTGGATGGAAGCAGGATCTGATCCAGCAAAAAGTGAACGAGCTGTGCTTCCCAGCACATTGCCCCTCACCGCTGTCTTCTACCATTTCAAAATGGCACCCATCTCACCCACAACTTTAGTGAGACAAAGGCATTGATTTGTGATGGATTATTTTATTGATGTTCTAGAATACATTAAAAATGAGTATGGGAGTCTCATTGTGTCGTTTGTACTAGATCAGTGTCCTGTACTTTGGCAGAGGCAGAAGTTGCCTCCATTCTTTTATTTACTTATCTAGGCAGTGAGAGGCATGCAGAGTACAGTACCTGGAATAGGAACATCCGTTTTGTCCATGAAAATTGCTGATGAAACTTTCATGGAAGTGCTGTGCAGTCCTCTGTCCAGCATTTTAGACATTAGACAGCCCGGTTTCTTCCCCTGCATCTCTCTGATGAGGTTAGCTGGGATAACTGAAGTAAATACCTTAGCAGCATAATGGCCAGGGGAGCTGTGGAACATCCCTCTCAGCTGGGCTTTCTGTGTCCGTTACCTTTACCCAATTAGCTTCAACATCAGCGAAGGGTCTTTAGTGTTAACAGTACTTTCATAACCATGGAAAATTATCCTTGGTGTACTCAATGACAAGACGGGGTGGTGCCACAATATGGATGTGCGTGCATCCTCCTGGCTCTTAATACTTTTAGAGCCTCAATCGCTGCCTCTGATATTGTAACGTATACCCCTTGTGTATTCGGGATCTATCTATCTCCTTTCTCTTCTGGGATAGGGTGGGTTTATACTGCTGTTGTTGTGCGTTTGACTTTTCAAAATATATGGTTTGGCCCTAAACATTGGTCGGTTGCCTGATTTGTGGTTACCCATTCCAACGGTGACTAGATACATAACACCAGGCCAAATCTGGCTTCTGGGAGGGGGACACCTTGATTTAGGCCTTGGGCTCAGTCATTGCCACTAGCCTTAACTCCCACAACAAAGCCTTAGGCTTCACTACAGGTTTTGGCTTCCACAATAATTGTTTACCTAAGTCCCCCAGGTAACAGTTTGGAGACCACGGCAGGACCTGGTGAGGTCCTGGTTCAATCCTTATATGGGTGGTGCATAAGCAAACAACAACAACAACAACTGTATCGCTGTCCGTTGACTTGGGGAGGGTTTTCGTTCTCGGGGGCCCTATCCATCGTCCCCGTTTGTGGTTTCAAGGTGGTGCTGTGGTTCCAGCTGAGGTGGTGCTGTGGTTCCAGCTTCTCTGTGACCCAGACCACCCGACAGTGACAGGTTCCCAACCCTGTCAGCTGAGGATAAAGCCCTAATCCTGGGAGCGGTAGCTTGAGAAGGCGGAAGGCCTACTCTGGGTGGTGCGCCTGGGCTCCGCTGCTTTTTGCGGACGGAAGAGCACTGCTCCATATTTGTTTGCGGTTTTGTGTTTTCAGGGTTTTTTTAGTGAGGTACTGACTGGCTGGCTTTGGTTTCCAAACCTAGTCATAACCCAGTGACTCAGATTCTCTTTAGTGTGGGCTGGGTAAATAGCCCAATTTAGCGTGATGGCAGCAACTCAGCTATTTGACATCGATGGCTGGAGACCCGTGCATAATAAAAGTTCTTTAGAATTTGCTGTAAATTCTTTTGGGAAGGGAACTAATCCTTGGATAAAAGATTCTTTCAAGGGGGGGAAGAGTTCCTCGACAAGTTTGGTAGTTTATGGGAGAAATATGTGGAGGCGAAGCCTCATCCAAAGAAGAGACACCAGAAAAGGTCCTTGTTATATGGGTTGACCATGACAAGTAGGGAGCTAGCCTCCCAAATGAGATTGTTAAGATCAATGTATGATGAAGCAATGCATCAATTGAATGTAATTGAGGGAAATTTGGAATGGAAGGAATTTGAGGTAGAGTCCAAAGACTCCCATATTCAAACTTTAAATGCTAAAATCTCCATTTTGGAGAATAAAATAGCTGATTTATGTGTAAAGGAGGACAAAACAGAGGAAATAATTACAGAAAAGACTAAGCAGCTTAATGACACTCAGGCCACTGTAAGGCAGCTTATTAAAGAAGCAAGCAGTATGCGAGCTGAAGAGGATCACACCCAGTATAATGCGACCATTTGTAAGCTGCAGCAGCAACTAGGGATGGCAAAGGGAATGGTGGCGGCTATTCAGCCCCAATACTGAGAGGTGGACTGATTGGGAGAAGGTGGAGCAAAGTCTGGTCTCCCCTCTGCTCTCCCTCCATCATATCAAGGAGGGGAAGAAACGTTAGAGTCTATGGCTCCAATAACCACCACCCGAGTGCAACATCCTGGTCAGCCTCACCCGGTGATAAAACAGGAGCAGAGAGCCTTAACGCCAGAACAGGCTCAAGCTCTGGGCAAAAACATGGGACCATGTAACCGAGAAAAGGTGTTAGACTGGGTTTCCAGGGTATGTGCCACCCCAAATTTGAGCCCAAAGGATATTGTAATTGTATTGAAGGAGTGTACGCCAGTGGAGGATTATTTGGCTCTCCCATGTTCTGTGGTCAATGATCCTAACCCAGAACGGAAAGTATTGCTCATAGCTGTATGTAAGGTGTTCTTCCCTCAAGAAGATTTTGTAGGGAAGGCTTACTCAGATCAGCAAAGAGAGGGAGAGAAACCAGATATATATATTATCAGGAAAAAAACGTTATCTTGGTTGGCTTGGGGCTTGGAGATCAGAGGGGTGATAGATTGGAGTGTGATACCCCACAATTTAAGAAAATGTGCTATCAAGGCTTACTCCCTACTTTGAAATTGGCCCTAGGATCTTTTGATTATTTGAATGCTCCCCTTTCCATGTTAGAGAAAAAATTAAGGGAGGTTTTTGAGTTGCAGCAAATGGCAGCTGCTAGGCCCAAACAGCAAACAAAAAGAATATCAGCCTTGAATGAGGAGAATCAGGCTGGAGAAAAGACTTTCAAACTTGAAAATCAACCAAAAGAACAAAAGGCAGTGAAGTCTGGTTTTCGCCTTCGGGCGCTGTGGGAAAAGACAGAAGAAATTTCGGCCACCTGGAAAGTTCTTGCCTAGAGGCTTTCTAAATATTTGCCCTGAGACAAGATAAAGACAATGAACACAGACTTTATTTTTAATGAGTTGGTTCGGTGGGAAGGAAACATGGCTGCCGCAACAGAGATTCCATTTTGTGAGGAAAGATCTAGGTGTACGGCACCACCATCTTGCCGCAGTCCTTCGTGGTCAGATGGGCGCCGCCATTTTGATAACCGTGGGAACCAAGACCGCCATTTTGAAGACCATGGGAACCGCGATTCCCAATGAAGATGCCGAGCTTCCCTGCCCCTGAAGATGCAATGGATTACATCATTATCATTTGATTTATATGGACGGCCAATGGTAAACAAGGGAAGTTCGGAACCATTGAACAGCAAGCATTGGTGGATACAGGGGCCTATACCAGCTTGATTTGCACAAGACAATGATCAAAAATACAACCGTGGACCATATAAGAACTTTACAATCTTATAATGGCAAGACCTCTATTGTACCCTTCATTAAAGATGTTGATGGTCAACTAGGGTCCCTATAGATTACAACTACTATTGGTTTGCAGGAACTGGATAATGTAGGCATTGGCATGGATTTAATTAAAACCTACGGACTTGTTATAGATCTGCCTAACCGGTGCTTATATAAGACCAGTGAAGAGGATGAAGTAGGAACCATCATGCTACCCTCTCACCGGATAGGATCTATAAAAGCATGCCAGGATATAGCGATGCCTACCTGGGAACCAGAGGTACAAGATATAGTAAACCGTCATTTGGAGTTATTTGCACAACATAAGCTTAGTTGCGGGAAAATACAACAGATGCTCAGTGTAAATGGACCAGACCCACGACCAATTAAGCAATACAAATTCCCCATAGAGGCACAAAAGGGGATAGATGACACCATCCAGGCTTTATTAATGCACGGGATAATTGTCAAGTGCCATAGCCCATGCAATTCTCCAATATGGCCAGTCAAGAAGGCTGATGGGAAATCATGGCAGCTTACCGTAGACCAGCGGGAGTTGAACAAAATAACTCCTAGGATGACCCCGGTGGTAACGAAATACCCGGAAATAATCGCTCAAATTGCCAGTGGGGCACCATGGTTCTCAGTTATCAACATATCCAACACTTTCTTTTCAATACCTCTCCATCCAGAGTCTTTGCACAAATTTGCTTTCACTTATTTACATCAACAATTTACGTTCACCCGAGTACCTCAGGGGTTCCATAATGCCCCTACAATTGGTCACCGAGCTGTCTCAAGTTTATGGAAGAACTGTAAATATTCTAAACATATTTTAAGTTATGTAGATGATATTTTGATTGCAACGGAAGATCGGGAGGAGCACTTGAAGGTTCTGGATGAGGTATTGGACACTTTGAAAAAGGCTAGATTTTTGATCGACTCCTCAAAAGCCCAATTGGTTAAGAACAATGTCACATATTCAGGGGTACTCAAGAACGTATTAAAATGATTGCTAGCCTCCCTGTGCCAACAGACGTTCATACTTTAAGGATGTTTTTAGGCCTTCTGGGTTTCAGCAGGGATTTCATTGAGAACTTTGGGCTAAAGGCAAAATCGTTTTATAAGCTACTGAAGAAATCCCAGCCTTGGCAGTGGGGCACTTTACAACAGGAGGCATTTATGCAGTTAAAACAATCTTTAATGCAAGCACCAGCACTTGTCTATCCTGACCCCAGCAAGGAATTCAACCTGCAGTTGTCTACTGGAAAAGAAGCTATTGGGGCCATATTGATGCATAAAAAGGGAACATCGGTTAAACCAGTTGCATATGGGTCCTGGACATTATCTGAGGTAGAGCAACAATATGCGGCTTGCGAAAAGGAGGTGTTGGCTTTAGTATGGGCTCTACAACATTGGGAGAACCTCGTTGGGATGGCCCCCATCATTTTGAGAACTTGCCATATTCTGGTGCGGTACATTACATCGGGAAGAGCCAACAACGGGCGTGTAAGCCACCCACGCATAGCCCGATGGACATTGGCCCTTATGAACCACCCAATTCGAGTGGAACCATCAAAGACTCAAAATATTGCCCCTACTTTGCTTTGTCAGCCCATAGACTGTACTGCGCTTGGAGATCATGAATGCCCTGTTCCCGAATATCAAGCCCCGGAGGAGATCTCTCCCTTCTCATTAATAGAAAAATTTGAGGCGATTAAAGAACATACCCCGGAAGACGTGGGTAGTAGACGGTAGTTGCCTTTGAACGAACGGGAAACTATCTGCTGGAGCGGCTGCATTACATGTAAGATCTAATGAGGAGATACTGCGGTCTATAAAAGTTACCTCTGCTCAAGCTTCAGAAATTGTGACAATAATCCTGGCTCTCGAAAATAGTGATTCCAATACAGACGTGACCATCTGTACCGATTCCGAATGGGTGCTTAGACCCCTGATTGACTGGATGATAGTGTGGAGAGAGAGACAGAGAGAGAGGAATGAATACTACTAACAACAAGCCAGTAGCACACGCAACTCTACTCAATCATGCGTGGAACCTAGCCAAACAATGATCGGGCAGAACATACTTGTTTAAAGTGAAAGCACATAGGAAGAATCAAGCAGAAATCTCAGACATCAACAATGCAGTAGATCAGTCGGCTAAGAAGGCAGCCACCCTACCCTGGGAGCAATCGTGGAGAACCATTGCTTAAACATTGGTTAAACATTGGAAAAGAAGCTATTGGGGCCATATTGATGCAGAAAAAGGAAACATCGGTTAAACCAGTTGCATATGGGTCCCAGACATTATCTGAGGTAGAGCAACAATATGCGGCTTGCAAAAAGGTGGTGTTAGCTTTAGTCTGGGCTCTATAACATTGGGAATACCTCGTT